AGAGGGGGGGAGGGAGGGAAAGAAAGGAGAGAGAGAGGGAGAGAAACATCAATGAGAGAAAGACAAATTGATTGGTTGCCTCCAGCTGGCACACCGGGGCTGGGGATTAAGCCTGCAACAGAGGTACATGCCCTTGGCCAGAATTGAACCCAGGAACCTTCAGTCTCTGAGCCAACACTGTAAGCACTGAGCCAAACTGGCTAGGGCAATGACATGCTTTTTAAAGAAATACACAATTATTCTGGAATACACTGATTATCTGGAGTGAAAAAAAGGAATGAAGTGGAGAGATGGCACACAGTAGGTGCTCAATAAACACCTGAATTGTGATTTAATGCAAATATAATCCACCTTTATAGAGATATAAAAATGTAAAATGTTAAATTCCTAGGCTGAAATCACTGTTTTTCTCCCAATTTCTCCCTACCTTTCAGTTGTGTTTACAGTTAAAATCTAGTGTAGAAAACTACTTTGGGTTTCAATGAAAAACTATGCGTTATCTATGGGTACATTCTTCCATGTTATCAGATTATAACCCTCTCAGTTGCCTCTGACCAACCTTATATCTTTTCATGTTGTAGATAACTGGTAGTGCAAATTCTGTCTCTCAAGGTAGAGGTTCAAAATGTCTTCCCTTCCACTATGAAAAAAAGAGTTTTTGTCCCCATTTGCAATTTCACCTCAACATTCCTTTAATCTTTATAAATTTGTAGTGTTTGACTTACACTTGCCAGGTTCCCTCACATGAGTAAAAGAAAAACTTTAACATGTATTCACTTACCTTTTTCTGAAAATTATTTTTTAACACTAGAGAAATGAAATAATAAAACTATTACACATTTTATTCACCAGATTCTTTACATTCTGGCATTCAATTGCTAATCAAGAAGCCAACTGGGGGGAGGGTAAAAAAGGGAATAAATGGTGATGGAAAGAGACCTGACTTGGGGTGAACATAGAATACAATATAGATGATGTGTTATAGAACTGTACCCTTGAAACTTATTTAATTTTAGTAACCAGTGTCACCCCAATAAATTCAACAAACAAACAAAAAACAAGAAGCCACACAAAACATTGTCAATAATAGGGCATATGGTATCTTTTTCTTCCTTTGTCTTCAGCTTTTTAGTTTAACATACCAAATGTACCATTAAGATGTGACCACACAACCCTGGCAGGGTAGCTCAGTTGGTTAGAAGGTCATCTCGATACGCCAAGGTTATGGGTTAAATATCTGGGCAGCCATGCAAACTTAGAGGCCTAAAGTAACCACAAAGGATGGTTTGAAATTAAAACTTTTAAACTAAAAGCAGTTTATGGCAGGTAATCATGTCTTACGCTGGCATCCTCTCTGACAAAGGCCAATCTTTACCCTAAATTAAGCCTGTCTATTGTCTTGTTGCATCTACAATAACGTATCTTCGGGATATCAAAGTAATTTTCCTTTTTCCCAGACCCCTCAAAGCACAGGCACCACTCTGTAGAGACCACAAATCTCATTGTTTTTGAGTTAATTATTGACTGTTAACTATCCTATACCCACCTATGTAAAAGAAGTGTGTCTATCATTTTCTTTTTATCCAATCCCAAAGGTTTCCCCACTTTGCTTTCTCCTGCCTCCCTAATCTATCACCAATGGGTTTCATGTAACCCACATACTCTTCTTTTGATTGTAATGTATAAAATAAGGTGCAAAACTGCCATTCTCTGGAGCATTATCTCAATCCATTGAGATTTTGCTTCCTGGCAATTGTTGACAGTTTGGTTCAAAAAAACTCACAAAACTTCTTCACAAGTTTGAATGTTTTTTACGTTGACACAACCAATGAATGCATAAAGAAATGGAACAACAAACTGATTTTTTCTCTCTCCCTCAGATCAATTTAAAAAAAGTAACCACACAATTTGTATTAATATGACTCTCATATTTAGCTTTATATCAAATACCAAACCAATAACACATTTCTTCCTCTAACATCTTTATAAAAAAATATTTTTATTGATTTTTAGAGAGAGAAGGGAGAGGGAGAGAAGTATCTATGTGAGATCATAACATCAATAGGCTGCCTCCTGCACGCCCCCTACCATGTCACCCCAATAAATTCAATTTAAAAAAAAAGAAAATGAGAAATTCGAGCAAAGACAGATATTATGCTAAGGGAAATAAGTCAGGCAGAAAAGCTAAGAACCATATGATTTCACTCATATGTGGGATACAAAACTGAAACTTGTGAACACAAACAGCAGTGTGGTGGTTGCCAGAGGGAAGGGGTTGGGGGAGTGAAGGGGACCTAATATACAGTGATTGAAGATTATGTGACTTTGGGTGGTGGGGAACACAGTGCAATATACAGATCTTGTAACATAGAAATCCACACCTAAAACCTCTATGATCCTATTAACCAATGTCACCCCAATAAGTTTTTTTAAGAATGCTAATAGCATTCATGACAGAAAAAAATGTTCATGTTTTGATATGATTACAAATATTTATATAAAAAAGTACTTTATTAAAACAAATATAAAAAATATTTTATAACATTTTATAATTTTATCATTGGTTTTGTTAACCAATACAGTGTAACCTTTTCACTGTATTTTACACATTTAGAAATATTATTCTGAGAAGGCTTCACAGGATTCACTAAGGTGTCCAAGACAACAATAAAGGTTAAAAGTCCCAATCCAGATGCAGGAACCAAAACAATGGCTTAATCCAATCATTTGGTTGTGAATAGCTTTATAATTTATAATGCATCAAATATATTCCCTAAATCTGCAAAAAGAAATAAGCTTTCAATTTATTTGGTCTCCTGAAATTTTCCTCAGTCAAAATAAATTATTTATATTTTCATTACATTTCTGCCTATTTAGTATGTGGAAGGGTCAGAAACACAAGTTTATACTATGTGGTCACAAAATAAGTAATAGTAATTAAGTAACACTTGAATAGTACTTATTATGAGGCAGGCATTGTTTCCAGCACTTTACCTATACTATTTCACTTAATCCTTACAAATGCCCCTCGAGGTAAACATCATTATTATCTCCAGTTGTAAGATAAACTGACAATCAAGTACCTTGCCTGGCTCAAGGTAAGGCAACCAGCAGTAAAGTGAAAATTTTAACCTACATTTGGATCCTGTCCGTGCTACTACTACTAACATAATCTGCCTAAAGAAATTTACAAGAAGGCAAAATAAAACAGGCCCCAAGGATTGGAACAAAAGTAAAAAATGTTATTTATACAGCATATATGTAATAATACTGGGAAGAACAAACGAAAAAAAAATTTTTTTAGGTAACATTCAACACGGAAGCTTTCCAGAAATTTCAAGTCCAAATCCCACGAACTGACGATGCCCTAAAAATCTTCTGCCTACCCTTGCCGGTTGGGCACAGTGGTTGGAGCCCCAGCCCTCATACTGAAGGGTCGAGCCCCATCGAGGGCAAGTACCTGGGCTGCAGGCTCCAAATCACCTGTCGGGAAGAGTGCCGGAGGCAATCAATCCATGCGGCTCTCACATTAATGTTTCTCTCTCTTTCCCCCTCCTCTCTCCCCTCCACTCTAAGAAAAATCAATGGAAAAAAATATCCTTGGGTGAGGATCAACAACAACAACGAGTTCTTTTCCCATCTCTTCAGCGAAAATTTTGCTCATGACACCAAGCCATCCATATATATGCTTCGATCAGTGATGAAGTGATGTAGAATTTAAGAAATGGGTGTGTAAGATGCTATATTTATTCCTAAAACTAGCCACATGAGAAAATGAAGAACTTATACCACTCTCCTATAACACTTTACAGATTTTAAAAAAGATATTCGGATGTTTCTGCCGTGTAGTATGAAAAGGGATTCACATTTTGGAGGACTATCTTTAAATGAATTGTCAGTACATTTTGCAGACCTTATTGGATATATTAAAACATGGAGCTGAAAATGTGAATTCGGTTATTACTGGCATCCCACCTAAACACGGGACTAGATGATTACCAAGATCCATTTCATTTGTTTTTTTAAAAAGCTAATTCCAAAAACCAAACACTTGCGAGGCCATGAGCCCACACCTTAAAGGCAGCTACCTACACCGCCCTTACCTACAATCTTCCAGGTTGTCCCTTTATCTTAGTAAAAACTTTCAGAAGAGTACAGACCCTTCTCATTCCTCCCTCAAGGGTGGTTGTCCCCTCCAAGTCAGAAGACGACCCTCTCAACTCGGCTCCTCCTTAGGAAAAGGGACTGACCGTCCGGGACACCCCATCTCCACGGACAGGACTGCAGCAGGCACAAAACCCCCTTTTTAAGAGAATCACCGAAACTCCCGAAGATCTACTCTTCCCATCCAGCTGTCTGTAAGGGTCTAGGAGTGCCACGGTCCCTAAATTCCTTTAAAAAGAGTCCATAACAGGCTGGCTTCTCCTTCCAACTTTCTCAAAAACCCCCTCTAACTTGCCTTTTAAACTTCTGGAATCTCAGCTCCGCACTCTTCCCAAATACCCCAAAGGCCCAAACACACCGCATCCACGCGAAAGGACCTCGGAGCGACCCTCAGCCCCGCCGCCCACCGCGCTTTCTCTTAAACCACTCTCCGCCAAGTTCCTGCTGGCTCTCGGCCGCAGAGCAAAATCCCCAGAGACAAGTTCGATTTTTCTCCCCACGCCCGCGTTTTCCTGAGTAGAGAGGATGACACCTCTCCCTCCCCCACAGCCGCCCGCCCGTCGCCGCTCCCACAGTTCAAAAAGAATTTAAAACTTTCACTAGAGTCGGGTCGGAACTACTGAGGGTTCCACTCACATTCTCGTCTCCTGAGAGGTCCGGGTTGCTGTTCTCATCGCTGCTCAGCTTCTGCTTCTTGGCCGCAGGCATGTCTGTTCCCGCCGGGGCTGTCGACACTTCCCTCTCGGACATATTCCTCCGCCTCCCTCCAGGTTCCTGCCGCCTAGGGCGGGGCCTCCGCCACACCGCCGTCAAGCAAGCCCGGCCAGAGCTTGCCGCAAAGTTGCCACTGCCGCCGCCACCTCCACCGCTTCCCCCACTGTCGCAAACCGCGCCCAGCCGCCGAGGCGGGCGTGCGTGCGACCCCGCCACACTGCTGAAAAAGGGGCGCGCGCGCGCGCCCGCGCGGCTTCCTGGCTCCTTCCCTCTCCCTGCTCCCGTCTTGCCCTTTTCCCGCCGCCCTCCGGGCAGTTTGCACGGAGAGGTGGGATCCGCAGGCTTTCGAGGGCAGTATTTCGTACGTCGCCCTTCCCCACCACCGTCTTGAAAAAGGAGAGGCGGAACTCAAAGGGATGCTCCCGCACCCCCTCCTTCCTTCCAAAGACCTTTCAGTCGCAATTGGCCCAATCCTACGTTCACCGACCCGCTGCAAGGACTCGAAAGTCTGTGGAATGGACTAGACCACCGATGTCCCAGGGGACGGGGAAGATGCGAGAAGCAACCTCTTGCATTAGCGGTGGATGCCAAATGTTCTTCATTTTGAACTCGGAGGATAAGGCTCTCAAGTTATTCACGCTACTGTTCACAATTTTATTTTTGGTTAAGAACAGAAATTCAAAAACTGTGGACTGCTTTCCACTTGCCTCCCCCATCTAGCAAATGGAAGTTACCGGCTAAGAAGTACGCCTGCGCCGGGGCGTCTTCTCGCGCTCGGTCCTTTGGCCCCGCCTCCTCCAAGCCCCTCCTCTTCGAAGTCCTGTTCTCTGAACCAGGTAGTCGTCGTCGGGTTTCCCTCGCTCTGGGTGGGTGCCAAAGGGCTACCAGATCGTAATTTCTGGATGCGTCCTAAATTTTTGGCGGATGCTTATTGCAATGAATGATTATCCAAACCTCATTGGTGCCAATATTGGGTAAGGTTTAAGTAGGAATATCCTAAAATTATGATTGTGGGCCCCTAAATGAGTTACAGTCCAGAGTGCTCCTTTTAACTGTGAAAGAATTATCAAGGCCCTGAACAATGCCAAGGCCCCCAAACCAATGGTTATTTCCATCTATGTATGAAACAGACTTAAACGACGGACAATGTTTTTTTGGCACACCAGATACAATAAAATTGTACAGGAAGGCAACAAAACTTATACTTCACCAAAATGTTTATCACTGTAAATGTTCCCATATCTAGGTGCGTAACATGCCAAATATGTTAGTGAGCTTCGTGGATTTGTTACACCGGTCATTAAGGCACAAAACCGAATGAGCCACAGGAAAAGGAACACGATGACAGCCACATATACACCCTCTTTTTTGTAGAAGTTGGTTATCACTACTTGTTTTGGGGGGCCTCAGTGTCCTCATCTGTAAAAATGATATAGGAAAGCCCAGCTGGCATGGCTCAGTGGTTGAGCATCAACCTAGGGTCCAGGAGATTGTGGTTCAGTTCTGGTCAGGACACATGCCCCAGCTGAGGGCTCCATCCCCAGTTGGGGGTGTGCAGGAGGCAGTCTCATCATTGATGTTTCTGTCTCTCTCCCTCTCCCTTCCTCTCTCTGAAATCAATAAAGATATATTAAAAAAAAGAAAAAAGTGATGTAGGAAGGGACCTAAAATTTCTTGAGTACCTACTTGATACGTATATTTTCTCTTTTAGATCTCATTACCTTGCCAGTGGATAACCAGTATAGAGTATTCCATCCATAAAATTCTAGTGTACAGAATTATTTTTGCATGATGCCTTAACAGAGAATATCATGCTGTCTGTTTCATTATCTGCAGATTGCAAGTCATTCTTCTGTTTGAGGATAAGGAGAGAACTCAGCTGAAAGTGAGAAAAGGAAGGTAAAGCAAAGGCAGGGCAGAATGAGAGGTTTTTGCAATGACGACTCTAGAAAAATAAGGAAGCTGTTTCAGCAGCACGTATACTAAAATTGGAACAATACAAAGAAGATTAGCATGGCCCCTGCACAAGGATAGGCAAGTTTGTGAAGCGCTCCATATTTTTAAAAAAAAGAAAAAGAAAGCTGAAAAAAAATTAAAGTTCAGGTCTTAGTAATATTAATCGCAGTTATTTGTTGAACCCTTCTTATGTGCCAGAGAGATGAGACTGGTATGGCATCAGCCACTGAGAAAGTAAGATGTGCTTGCTCCCCTTTTCTGTTGAAAAAGATATGAAATATAGCTCTACAAAATAAAGGATAATCAACCAAAGCATTTCCTAAACAAATTAATCTACATGTCTGGGATCAGTGGAAGGTGGGAAATAGGAATCACCTATTAGTCATAAAATTAGAAAGTGCTGAACAGTTGTAAAAAATACATCGAAGTATAATGCCTTTCCACATGCATGTTAATCTGTAACAAAGCAAAAATATTTTTAAAGACTTATTAAAACTTGGGGATATTTAAATTTTTTTCTAGTAATTCAGAGATAATAAATAGAAATTAGTTAATATTTATTAGTAGTAATGTTAAAAATTATTCTCACACTTGTTAAAACTGTAAGGAATTTTATTCAAGGCTATTGTAATGTCAAGACTTGCAGCAGGAGAGAGATTGGGTTCAACTTTGAATTCAGCAAGGACAGGAGGGGATTTGTAATCAAGAAGTAGAGTGGGAGTGAAGGAGTTCAGGACATGCCATCCACAATATGCTACTTTGGAATGTTGATTGTTTTGAGCTGAAGGCACTTGTAAAACAGGTTTTCTATGAACTCCCCTTACCTGCTTAAAGACAGATCCTCCAAAAGGAACTCAACTGTCGTAAATCCCCTTTCCAGTAGTTTCATCAACCAGGGAAGACTAACTCTTATCACAGAAGAGAAGATTAGAAGTCCACACCACACCCAAAATTTGTCACAAACTGTTTTAGCTCCCATCTCTTTTAAGGGCTCATTCATCTTTCCAAAATAACAGTTACTTTCCCCTATGTGGCATACATCTCTCCTCTCCTTCCCCTATTAAGATGTTATGAGCTGCCCTGACCGAGTGGCTTAGTTGTTTGGGTGTCATCCCATGCACCAGAAGGTCGCTTGTTCGATTCGTGGTCCGGGCACATGTCCAGGTTGTGGGCTCAGTCCCTGGTCAGGCTGTGTGCAGGAGGCAGCCAGCCGATGATGTTTCTCTCTCACATTGGTATTTCTCTCTCCCTCTCCCTTCCTCTCTCTCTAAAAATCAATAAAAACATTATTAAAAAAAAAAAAAAAAAAAGATGACATGAGCTCTCAAATCTCACTGCTGTTTGGGGGATTCAATTTTTTCCCTCTGTGATGCCCCTGTACATATACTATTAAAAATTAATAAATGTGGATACCTTTTTTCTTATTAACCTTCCTGTTGTCAGTTTATTTCATAGACCCAGCTATCAAACCTAGGAGGGTAGAAAGAAGGCTTTACTCCCCTACAGGGGGTGGATTGGTAGATAGAAACTTACTAGAGGAGGCTTCAAGGATAGGGGGAATTCTTCCTAAACCAACTTGCCAGGACAAGCAGATACAAGGGAAGGGGGTGAGGAATTTGATCAGATATCTAGGGAGATCAGATATCAAGGGTAGGGGATTCTATCCCCCTTTATATCTCTCACCCTTTTTTTAAATATATATTGATTTCAGAGAGAGTAAGGGAGGAGAGAGAGAGAGAAACATCAATGATGAGAGAGTCATTGATCAGCTGCCTCCTACACACCCCCTACTGAGGATCGAGCCCACAACCCAGGCATGTGCCCTGACCAGGAATCAAACCCCAATTGCCTGGATCCTAGGTCGACGCTCAACCGCTGAGCCACACCTGGCTGGGCAGCTCATCCTTTTTCTTTTAATTTTATTATTTTTTCTTGCTGCTTTGGTTTTTTCTTTTTTTGTCATTCTTTTTTTTTTCTTTTTTGTTTTTCATACACTATTGAAGAGCAAAAACTGTCTCACTTGGGAAAGAAAGAGGATACATAACTGGAGACTCTGGGAAAATCCAAATAAAGTCTGCAGTTTAGGTAATAATTATGTATATATTTCAATTTCTTAATTTTGACAAATGTACTATAGGAGTGTAAGATGTTAACAATGAGGGAAACTGGGTGAGGGTTATACAGGAACTCTCTTTACTATTTTTGCAACTTTTCTGTAAAATTATTCCCCCAAAAAATACTTTTTAAAAAAATTGATTTTAGAGAGAGAGAGGAAGGGAGAAAGAGAGGAACATCGATTTCTGTTGTCACACTCACTCATTTATGCATCATTGGTTGCTTCTTGTATGTGCCCTGACCAGGGGATCAAACCTGCAACCTTGGTGTATCAGGACGATGCTCTAATCAACTGAGCTACCCGGCAGGGCCCCAAACATTACTATTATTTTTTAATTGATCTCCTATTAAACTGCTAAGAACTCAAGTCAGAAATACCCCTTAACCTTCAAATAAGTGGTTGTTCTATCTTGGAAAATTTTCAAAGATCTTTTACTTATAAAGGAAAAGAAAATTCACAGCCTCCCTTGATATTGTCGTCTAGTATCTCATAAGCTTCATATCAGGAAATGAGTTTCAAAAGCTAAATTAAATCCTTCCCATTTCAATTGAAGTCGATTTCTCATTCATTCAACATTTTTTGTCTCTTCAGCTTCATAAAGAGCAGCTGTTCATCATCACTCATGCAGCATGTAATCATATGCTTGCAGATCCAGTTTTCTATGAGCAGAACATCATATGGCTTCTTTGAATATTTTTAAATCAATCAGGAGGAATTTACTGAATGCCATTTATGTGCAAAGCAGTATGGAAATTGCAGAGGGGGGAGGAATAAAAAGGGAAAATTAAACATTGTCCCTACCTTCAAAAAGCCTAATATTCTTTTAACGTTGAAAAATGTCTCATGCACTTAATAAATGTTTCCTGAATACCCACTATGTGGCAGGCACTGTTCTGGGAGCTGGGAATCCTGGATAATAAGCAAAACCAGATCGTTTCCTACTGTCATAGAGCTTACTGGCTAGTGGGGGAAACAGTCACATAAATAAATGTAAAATTACAATTGTGGTAAGTACTAATAAGGGCAAGTACAAGGTCAGGGCTGCTGCCGCCACTGTTGTATCTTTGTGCTATTTTTTAAAAAGGTGTTCCCATAGCCCGGCCAGCATGGCCTGTGATTCAGGAGATCGAGGTTCAATTCTTGGTTAGGGCACATTCCAGGGTTGCAGGCTCAATCCCCAGCAGGGGCGTGCAGGAGGCAGCCCATCAATAACTGTCTCTCATCATTGATGTTTCTCTCACTCTCTCTCCTTCCCTCTCTCTGAAATCAATAATAACATTAAAAAAATAAAAATAATAAGGTGTTCCCGCCCAGCGGCATGGCTCAGCGGTTGAGCACAGACCTGTGATCCAGGAGATTAAGGTTCAATTCCTGGTCAGGTTACCTTTTATATATAAAAGGTGTTCCCGTAGACAGAAACAACCCAGAGTAAGCAGAAGTTGGCAAGCAGATTATGCCTTTGATGAAGCAGAAAAAGGCAGCCCTTCTTTCAGGTTGTCACAGCCCTGCTTCACGTGCAAAGCTTTGTGAGTGGAGCACAAACTGGATTTCAGCCGTTATCACCTCAGCTGGAACCCTTTGTTTAGATGAACAACCTGCACAAGCACAACAAAAGTTTCCATGGACACAGATAATAAAGTGATATTCGGGAGGGTTTCCTGAGGGACAAGCAGGAGAATTAGAACTGAAAGAAGAGTGGGAGTTAACCAGGTAGAAAGGAAGAAAGAGAAACATTCTAGGGAGTGGTAACAGCATGAATAAAGGTCCTGGGGCAGAATAGGACTATATATCATTGGAAAACTGGAAG